CTTCCCCCACGGCCCGCGCGCCCTCTTCCCGCGCCGCGCGGGACCGCTCCGCTCCTCACACCGCGGGGACCCGGCCCGGCCCCGCCTTCACCTCCAGGGACAACCCGGGGCGCTACCCCAGCCTCGAGCTCTCCACGCGCCGCACTGACCTGTTGAAGCGCCGCCGTTCTGACGCGAAGCTAACCCCGAGGTTTCCAAAGCTGATCCAAATAAATAATTTGAATTAATTCGGCTTTGAAAAATATGGGTTTGGTTTGGTTTTGGGGTTTTGCCTTTTTTTTGGCGTTACCTTTCACTGCAGAAGCCCAAAACTTTCACGTGTGATTTGTTTCCCTGGCCTCGAACCAGCGGCCGCCCCGGAGGGCCCGAGCGGTGCGCCGGGGCGGGGGGACGCGGGGCCGCCGCTCTCAGTGGCCGCGCGGCAGCGCGGCGGGGGGAAGCGGGGCCGCCGCTCTCAGTGGCCGCGCGGCAGCGCCTCCGCCGCTACAAGGAGCGATTAATGGAACAAGGTAATGATTACGGACACACAAATTCCACACAGCTTCAAAATTAGAAGTTCGCTTTCTCTGCGATGAACTTTTTCTCCGATTTTTTTTTTTTAAGAGTATTTCAGGACTTTTTTTTTTTTTCCCCAACAAGCCACGATCAAACCCGATGGGTTTGAACTTATATTTTTGCCAAAAGCGGTATTTTGTTAAGAAAACATTTCAGCACAACTACTTCTACTTCCCTTTCCTCTACCACTTCCTTATTCTTGTCCCTACCTACTCTTTTAGCCATCCTTCATCCACAACTATTTCCATCTAATTAATAATGAATAACAACTACAGACAGTAATTAGAAGAAGAGCAATAAAACCTTAATACTGCTGATGTTCTCCAGGGACCTGGTGAAGAATGCCCAGCCTCCGGCTTTATCAGAAGCTCTCTGATAGAGAGATGATAAGTTAGATGGAGCCTCTCCCTTTTGGCGTTACCTTTGTAAGTTAAAGAATAACAAACATTAGCAGCAAGGCTAATTTAGTGAAAGGTCTTTTAAAGAGAGAAAACCCCAATGCCACTTCTTGACTGTGGTCAGAGCACTGCCTTTTTTATAACCTTCCTACTTGGTGGATTCAGCTGTTGCAGTCCTGAGTCAATCTGTTGGGTTGGTTTGATTGGGAAAGTGCCACACCTGCTTCACAGGTTTCTCTCATTACAGCACGGGTGTTTCCAGATTGAAACAGTCTACTATGTACTTGCGTTCTTGCCCTAAATGCCCATGGAAGTCATTAGGACTTCTTTTCTTGACAGTCAGATATTTAGGTGTCAAAAATGCTTGGTACATTTTCAAAAATATCTAGATCAAGACTAGTTGCCTAACAACCACTGCAGGCACTGGAAGTCAGCACCTAACATGCTTAGCGGGAGTTAGCGCCCAACCTGCTTAGGTATTTAGTACCTTCACAAATCTAGACTCAGGTACCTAAATCATATTTTTAAATGGGGCTTATGAAGTTAAGCACTGAGGCATGATTGCAAAATCCACAACTAGTAAGGCCTGGATCCAACATAACCAAAAAAGCACCCATAGAAAAGGGCTGCCTCCCTTGCAAATGTTCTCATGAAATTCCCGATTCTGGCCTTGCCAATGCCTGTTTTCTAACCCCCAGTCCTTATAACGGACCATAGCGATATGTACTGGAAGCTACCAAATACTCCTTAAAACCAAACGTCGTGAGCCTCCCAATAAAACTGTGAAACAGAGAGAAAAAAGTTTTTCACAGTTGGTCCAAACCTGTAAGCATATAGTTTTGCATATTTCAAAAGCTAACTGGCCTTTTATATTGCTACATCAAAT